TATTAGTCGAATATTAAATGACGGAAATCCATTTCAGAATGGGATTCGTATTTGACAGACCCGATCGCATTATACCCTTTCAAGTGGCAGTTCTAGAACATGTAGGTGGAGGAATGCTTTCAAAATGAACTGCATTTTTCGCAATATTAGCTGTCTATTTTCATCTAAAAATTCGGGAACTTATCCCAAACCTTATTGTGCTTTAAAAGAAAATGCTTAATAAATAATGCATAAATTGGTCATTTAATCAATACGAAATTGTGATATTCTATATTTCCTGGGTCTCACTCAAAGTGTGAAGTAAAAATTTTGAACATCGATTATTTCATTACGTTTCCGCGAGACAACAGCGCCATCATCAGATTTAAAATTTACACAAACTCATCATTGGTAAAAATCAACGTTCTCTTAGGTCTTTGCCTTCTTGAAACCCTAAATTTGTCCGAATTATTTCCTACATTTGCCTGGAACGCAAACAGTACACGCAGTCAGGAAAATAAATCAGAATCAATACGAAACTTTTCCACTTTTTTGCTTACTTTGCTATCGTTTATAATTAAGTATTGTATTATTTTAATTAAGTTCACTCGCGAATTATTTATTATGAAGCCTTTATGATTTCTTTTGCATCAGTTTTAACCGTCGACTGTCACCCAGAAAGGAGAAAAGCGCGACGTTTTTTAATAAAAAATCTGTTAACGCTACGAAACTGATGAGTGGCATTCAACTGATTTAATTTCTGCACATTGTTACAAATCGAGTTTCTATTAACCCAAAATGGTTTCAATTGACATTCTCCAAAACAAATGGAATTAATTGACACAAAGTAGGTTTAGTAATTAGGAAGAGGACTTTGCTCGAGGCAAGAGACTAATTAATTAGCAGCTATTACAATCATAATTACCCTGAGCTTACTAGCTTACTACCAAAATTGTTCGTTGAAAGATGAAGTACAGCTTAATTAACCTTTAAGTAGACATTGCCTTAAGCCGAAATTACCTGTAAAGAGGGCAAGGCAGCCAGGAAAGTATCAAATTACTTGGCATGGAACAGCGTACTATATTTTGTCCAACAAAATACCTAGAACAGTTTGAAGATATAACTTTTTTACCAATTTTGATACACCCCTACGCAAATCTATGAAGCAATAAAACTTTTTCAAAACTCTCTTTTTACCGGAAATGGGATAAAATCGTTCAAGCATAAGACCGACTTAGGCATAAAGTCGTCATAAGCAGAATAACGACTATAAATAAAACACGAAAAACATCCTGCAGTTGCACGAAAACTTTTTTATTTATTGTCCACAATTTTTCCAGTATGTATTGTCAACGTTCGACGATTTTTCGTTCAACGAACTTTTTCTCCATGGCAAATCTGTTTCAGAAATTTTCAGTGCACCAACACATACATAATATGAAGTTTGCCGCAAATTTAATCGAAAATCGTTAACAATTCTGATAAAGCAGCTGATGTTTGAAAATGCGATTTGTAATATTGGGGGGCTTGGGAAATTATGATCGCTCAAGTTTTGAGTATTCACTTCACTAAATTAGACGGTTCAGGGCTAACGACAGAGTCTGATTTGTAATTTTTCCAGAGGCTTTGCTTACTTTTGATTTTGATTATTTATTGAGTTATCAGGATTAACGAGAATAGCAAAGTTTTTACCAAAAAATTAGGAAATTGAAAACTAAAATTAATCTATTAAGTTTGAATAAGATTACGATGTGGATTAAGTTTACACTTTTTAAAACCCACTGCTTTTACATCAAAATTGCGATTTTATTGGCAAAAATTTAGTATCAAAGCAAACTAAACAACTAGCTACTTCAATGCATAACGTAAAATAACTAGTCTGATATGTTGTAGATGGGTAGCTCACATTGTCCTAACTGCTGTATAAACACCATTCTCCATAAAACAATAAAGTGTGATGCTCTCTGTTCTTCATGCATATTCATTTTCGTCACCTGTATTATACCACTCATATCTTTCTAGGCCGAATAAATTTTCTAGTGCGTCAGTCGTGTCAGGGAAGATAAAACTTTAAACAAACGTTCCTAAAGCCAAATGAAAAATAGCCGGTCCGAAAAAGATATTTCAAACGGGTAAATCTTTTCACCCTTAGTTAAAATATTATTTTGACCGTAAACCTTGTGCGCGCCCAGTTGATACACATTTTTTTCAGTTGATCCTTTTTATTGATACAAACTGCATGGATTTGGGGGGCTGATAAAAAGAAATGTTTTCCATCAATGAAGGGCGAGCGATTTCAAACGAAAAAATATTGTCTGAAGTGATCAAATAATGTGCTATTGGGAATGGGATTGGAAATAAGCGCAGTTGGCAAAGCATGATAAACCGACATGTAGAAATCAAAGAGATCGTTTGGAAAATTTACTGATTGGTTTACTTGCTACCGCTCTCCATTACACCAAAAAATTTAATAGAAATTTAAATGAAGTGAGTATCATCAATCCCAAAAATTATTCAGTAATCTACAAAGGGATTAGGGAGAAATATTCAAGTTGAATGCGAAACCCTACATTGAGTAGAATGGCTCATTTTTTCATAATCAAAATTTCCTCAAAGCCCTTTCAGACTGTGAGAAAAAAGCTCGGTAAGGAAAAAAAAATTACATTGAATCAATATTCTTTATCAAAACCGATTTACCAAACTTTAAATTGCTTTCTTAAAGACCCCATCTTCCACTCGAGGTAAAACCTTCCCTGGCAGTAAAAACATCATTTAGATCGTAAGCCTTAAACTAGCCTAGAAGGCCCGCATATTTATGTTATCCGTCGTTTTTACTGATAAAAACGGCGTGGGCGGATACATTAGAAAGTAAGCATTTATTGTCGTATAAAACAGACTGGCGAAAACTTTTCAACAAAACATTTCAAGGACTCATTGTAGGCTAAAGATATATATTGTGCAAGAACTTGAAGGCAGGACATTAATTTCGGCCACAATGGAAGGTTTCGAGAATGTGGAGGAAAATAGTTGATGGAAAGTTTTTAGAAACGGTTCACATTGAATAGTCGCTGGTACAGGAAAACATGAAAAATGGTTTCATTTTAAGCGGCTTTCGCTCGTTATAAAATGCTGTTACAAGCATAATACAAAAAGTAGAGTGATCCAAAATGCCGAAATACATAGTTTAATTACATACTTGCAAAATAAAAAAAACCAAGAAAGTATCCAACTATTGTGTACGTATTTAACGATGGTTGATAAATGAATAAATAAATAAATAAAACATAAAAAACACTCAACTGAAAATTAGTGTTAAAGAAATTACAAAAACTCTTATGTGTACAACCGAACTGGTTTTTAAATTCGATATTTATTGCCCTATCTTGCCGAATTTTGACATAATAACGCCCAGACTAACTAGCAGAAGCTAGGAAAGTCTAACTCACATTCACGTTTCCTGAATTAAGCCATAAATTCAAACAAAATCAAATTTTTGGAAAAACACACTAGATATTTGGCAAAAATAAATTTCAACCAATATCCAATTCCATAAAGTAAAATCTAAAATGTGCAAGTTTAGTGATGTGGAAAAAATCCTAAGAGATTTTTTAACCAAAGGAAAATCTCGATTTCGAATCAATTACAAGGAAAGTCTTGCAGCAAAAGGCAAATAAATGTATGAAATTTATTATTTCTGAAATTGATAAAAAGGCCTGCAAATTGTAATGAGGCTCTCGTAAGGCAATCGTAAGCTTACTGCTTATACAAACTACACATCTAGATCTACAATATATTTTATAAGTGACGCTATAAAATTAAACTCTTCCAGAGATTTTCAACAAATTTTATGCTCGAATTTATTACATAAAAGTTTGCGTTGAGGCTTAGAAACTATCAAGATGTAAATCAAGGAATAAACAAGTTATAGCTAATTATGATATAAAACTACAAAATTGATGTTTATGTACCTATAACGATACATTCATAATGGAGCAGTAAAACAAAAACACTGCTAGTTGCCTCAATTAAATAGCAGCTACCTAACTGTTTGAGAACTTTTCAATTAATTTAAGCTTCAACTTGTACCTAGAATTAAAACTAAGCAACCTCGCCAAATAATAATAAGTTTTAGGATATGAAGTTGCTTAAAACTTTCCCCAATAAAAGTGAACTGCGCATTCTGAGCGAATTTCTAATTTGATTATCAATTGTTTGTTTTATTCAAATATTTGGATTAAGGAAATTATTATTCGACACTGTATTTAAAGTGTAAGTTTGTTACTTTCTTCAAACAACGGAACTGAATGTGATTTTGCTTTACTAAACAAGCTTGATGAGCAAAATGACTTGAACATTTGTTATGTTTTCTTCATAAAGCATGTTTCACTTAGTCGAACACTGTGACTGAGTATACTGAATATTTCCTTTTTTTATTCGAAAAATCTGTGAACATGCTTTTAGACCTAAAGCCCTTTTCAAAGAGTGTATTTAATATGTACGATAGAAAACGGCATAACATTTAAACGCTTGATCTGTTCGCTGCCAACTGCACTTCATGTTTTTTAAATTAATTTTTTACAAAAATTGCCACATGTTTTATTTTGCTTTCAAGAAGCATTCAAACAAACTCTTATTAACAAACAGATTAATTCAGCTTTGAAAGGCAAAAAGACAAAATTACTGATTGAGTTTTATACTTTTTTTATATATTATATATTTTTACTAATAAAGATATGACAAAAACTTTTCTGGGAAATAGTTCCTGGATTATTTGCGATAATAATTAGATGCATATATTTTGCAAGAAACTGTGTGCAAACGGTTCAAGACAACTTTATCGATGTGAGAAGCCGTATTTTCCAAATGGAAACTTAGACTCTATCACAGCCAATATTATACATAAAATATGTGCTCGACGGCATCAAGTACAATATTACTGCAGTTCTAGTATTAAGATATTCATGAACACCATTTCCGGTTTCAGAGAATACGTTTTCTGTCCTGTACTAGATCCAACTTACCCGAGAGTTGTCGCCGACCGTCTATTTGGCTGACCTGAAAATAATAAATGTAGTTCAATTTCAATATTTTATCCTACGGCAGCTTTATTATAAATATATCCATATTTCATTGTTTTCAATTTAGATGAAAACAAATTTATTATTATTTAGCAAAATTCGTCATTTTCAATTCCAATTCGAAATTTGTTGCAACTGATCAATCGACGTTAGCTAATAAATTCTAGATGATGTTTCAGAAATTCAAACAAATTTATTTTAATTTCGAAATACAAACGAATAGGTGATATTGTACGAGTACGAAATATTTAAATTATACTTTTAGGTGAAAATGTTCAAAAGTTTTCATTAATCATCATCATTTTTTTACATGGTTTAATTTAATTTTTCCTTTTGGACGATAGGTTAATTGTTTTTGTGTTTATGAGGACATACACTTTGGCTTTTAGGTGATAGGCTTTCATGTGAAAGCTTTATTACATTTGAATTAGAAGTTGAACATATTATATCTCAATATTTTTGATATTAATGTATATTTTTCTCACATGATTTTTCTTGTTCTTCTAGTGCAAAATGTTCAACCCTAGAACTTCCTCATTAGTTTAAGTCATTTTATTATTTCCTAACATTTCATAGTTCAACTTGCTCAAATAATTGAAAATTAAAATGTAAAAACATTTATTTTATCTTATAAAGATTGGTCAAATGTATACACTTTTCTACAATCGTGAGCGTCCAGTTATATGAAAAGTATATATATCTTCGTATAAATTCTAAATCTTTTAAAGAAAATTGAAATTTTACAATTGAGAAATAGAGTGGAACACATTTTCCGCAATAATGCGTCTTTCCTATTTCTTGTGGAAATTTGGTACACTTTGAAACCGAAGAAGTAGGGCACGTATAAAACTAGAATGCCGTTTCCTCAAGGGGTTTCCGCGTTTTTCCAACCGATAGTGTAACAAACAAAATTCGTTTTTTTCAACAAATTTGGATAAAAAGCGGTTCCTAACGTCTGATTTATGTAGTGGTGAATAACTGGAAGGGGATATAAACCGTCCACCAACGCACTGAATAATTTTATTGGCTAAAGCTCTGATAATGACAATTTAAGCTCGAAAGCGCTTCAATTCAGCCAGTTGTAACAATGTTTTCCACTTTTGAGTCTACACTTTCTACATCAGATTTCTTTGCAACTTCCATTCTTGAGTGCATTCATTTTTAACTCAAACATTATGGTTTTATTATCAAATCCGCAACATTTGAATGTGTTTAGGTGCAGCATATTGCAAGTACCGTCTGCATTAAATGGTTGTTTTAATTACTATTAAATATTATAGAGGTACTGAAATTGAACATCCAACGAGGACAAGATGATAAATTAAACATCTTTTTACGATGTAAATTTGAACAGAAAGCAGATGGAAGATAATGGCCAACTTTAATGAAGAGATGGACGGCAGTAAAGTTGGCTGCCATAGATAAGCAATTTGCTGTTTGCTACTGCTCGTTAATTGCTCATGTCTCGTTATCGGTTTCCGAATAATCATAGGTTTAAAGGCAAAAAATTTGCTCCAACTCCACAGTTTTTTTAAAGCAAACACTTTGTGTGTATTTATAATTGCAGTCGCTGTCGTTTAACTACTGAGTGTAAATCATAACGTTGCGAAACATACATGGCACATTTGTTTTGTGGAAATAATGTTACAATCAAAAACTTAATGGCAAATTGTGTTAAATTTCGAATCCCAAACTCGAGTTTCTCGCTTTTCCCGTGCAATCTTTCTTGGGCCATGAAAATCAAGGACCTTATAGATCCCGTTTATACTGGTATAAAATATACAAGCTAACAGGAAAAGTAATTAGGTAGTGAATTATATCAAAGCGGCAGTAGGATGTATACTTAATTAAAACAGAAAATAGGCAATTAATTAAATGTTGCCTCCAAATATTGTTGTCTAACTTTCCGTTTATTCATCCATTGCTTTATTCACGCATGTTGATACTCAACAGAGAATTATTTGAAGTTTCAATATTTTGCTAATGGACAAGGGAATTAATTTCAGAGAGCTTTGAAGGAAATTAATTATAATAATTTCGATTAAGCATGGGTAACATTGTGCTGAGTTTCGCTTTTGAGTTGTTGCAGCTCTCTGAATTAATGAGTTTTAACTCATCGCTTAACGAGTCACACATTTACCGATGACCAAAACTACAATTTTAATATTAGGTAAATTTTGAAGAAACTTAAAAAACGTTTTGTCGCAAAACCGATTTTGTCGCAAATTCAAAAGTAAAACGGGTATTCGAAAAAGACGATAAAGAAGGCCAAATTATAGACGCCGAGTTTTGTTCTAAAATCAATCTCTTAATTTTTTTTCATAAAAGGGTCACAGCTGGCCAATATTTTAAAGTTGTACAACTTTAAGTACATCGTTTTTCTGCTTAGAGAGAGTTTTGTTTACAAATGTCGATCTCGAAGAAACCGGAATTTAAAAAACCGACTTACTCACAGCAGCGATGGTGGAGAATTTTCCAAATAGTTGTTTATAAAGTTTCTCTTGTTCTGTTCGAGGAAATATTTTTGGAAAAATCCGGAAATAAATGATTAAGGCTTGGCCAAAATTCGAGGCCGCAAAAGGTTTCCGACACATTTTCACAAAGCGCTTAAGGAGGTCAGGGAGTGTTCCAATAACACTTATTTTATAATTTTTTACAGAAAATACATGAAGTTTGGCAGGATTTTTAAATGAAACTAGGTAATAATGCGTTTTTTGTGCAGAAAAAATTTTGCTGAATCTGGAAAGACCTGAAATTTTAGAGAAACTTTAAAAAGCTTCAGAGCGATGAGGGTGGCGAATTTTTCAATTGATTTTTGGAAACTTTTGCTCTACTCGTTTTTTCGATTTAATAAAATAATTTGGTTTTGTGCGAAATTTGAAGCTGAAAAAGGTACACTAAGTTTCCCTGCAAAGCGATGCATGAGGCGAATTTTGTAATTTTTCGCTGAAAAGACGATTGTCAGAAAAGAAGAAAAGCATCAGAAAATAATGGTGGTTGTGCTTTTAGTTAAAAACTTTTAGTTTTGTAGTCGATTTGTGAGAAAACCTTAATGATTTTCCGGAGATAACGGGAGAAATTTAGTTTAGTCCCGAATTCGACACTCAAAAAAGTTTTTGTAAAATTTTTACAAAGCTATAAATTTATTTTGGAATTTTTCGCGTAAAAGACTTACAGATTGTCAGAATTTTGTGAAGTGAAACCCTTCAAAACAAAGCGTTTTTGAATAGAAAGTAAAACAAGAAAAAATGTTTGTTTTTTGATCAAAAAATATTTTATTTTTGTCCCAAATTCGAAGTTAGAAAAGAATTTCAAAAGTTTTTACAAATCGTCGAAGGAGGCGAGTGTCATAATTAACTTTATTTTATAATTTTTAGCAGAAAATACCTTAAGAATGTTAGTATTTTTAAGTAAAACTTTAGAAAATTGAGTGTTTAAAAGGAAGAGTAAGTTTGCTTAAACTGGAAAATTCTGAAGTTATGAAAAACCTTTAAAACTATAATTAATAAAAAGCCGTTAAAATAAATCTAAAAACAACTAAAAAAAAGTTCGTCAACATTTCCACAGCAACGGAACCGAGTTACTGCGCCGGTGCATTACATTGACGCACCAATCCATTTGCGCTACACTCCGCCAAGTCCTAATAATTAGGAGATGAGTTACCCAGGCCTAATTTCAATTGGAGCTAGTATTGCTTTCCGTTCACGCAAAACTTGAGTTTTAAATGACAGAACAAAATGAAAAATAATGCTAATTAAGATATCTGGTTAAAAGAAGCTTTGAACGATATGACCCAATTTAAAAATGTTAAAATAATTGTCTCCAACTGGCCTTTATCATTGATTCTTCTCAGAAAAACGTTCATCAAAGGCTATAACAGAGTTTTATGGTCAACCTTAACCATGATTTTTTTTAGATACTTCTACTGAACTGTCTAGACAATCAATAGATTTTTGTCATTTTCCAAGCTATGTTTTTGTTTCCTATGAAAACAAAATTACTCTCATTAATATGAAAGGTGTGTTCAAAAAATATGGTGTCGATTATCTATAGTTGTTCCGGAACACTTTTAACCTGAAGTGAGACCACAATTTACCCGGACACTCCCTTTTAATTTAATGAAGTGCCAATTGCTCAGACTTTTACGATATTTATGGTACTTTTGCAAATTAAATATCGAAAAAAAGTCTACGAAGTTAAAGCCATTTAATTTCCTGTGAAGGAAAACTATTCGTGTGCGTAATGGATAATTGAGCCCAAGTAGAAAACAACGGGTTAGGCTCTATAAAATATATAAAATGTATATGCCAGAACTGATTTCCCACGTAATCTTGTTACTGTTTCTATGATACTTTAGATATTCGTCCTAACTGAACTTTGTTTCCAATCGACCAATATCCATTATTATATTTGATATATATTTTTCTTTTTTTAGTACAATCAAGCCAGTAAGCAGTAAGGATATTTCGTTTCTTGATGTATGATCAAAGCGCTTTCTCGGTCTTTACCGGATATTTTCCAATTTTAAATGTTACGTTTGATGTAGATTTCTAAATCACATAGGAAATTTTATCCAAAATAAGCAAAACATTATTTCGCAAACTTATGGCAATTGATGTTTTCATGTTCATCTCGTCATTATAAATGTATATTTATATTAGTGAATAAAATGAAAATTATGCTAATAAAATTGAAATTTTGCCACGTGCTATTTATTGACCGGAACTGTTATTTTGCAATTTCAATTGGCCTTGATTTATTAATAGTTTATGGGATTACAAGTTAATGAGTTACGATGCTTTTAGTCGCAATAAAATAAATATTTTATACGCAGTTTGTTATTAACAGTGCTTTGCTTTTTAAAGTTTGAGTTCCACATATTGAGCATTATTTCATTGATCAAACGAACGGGACGAAATCAACAAAACTAATAGTAGAAAGCAAAACTGAAATTAAAATTTACACGAAAGCATAGAA